TGTGTGTGTGTGTGTGTGTGTGGGTATATAGAGAGGCACAGAGGGGGTTATATAGAGGTCTTGAGGGGTGGGGTGTTTATAAAGAGAGGCAGAGAGGGGTTATATAGAGAGGTGTGTGTGTGTGGGGTGTTATATAGAGAGAGGCAGAGGGTGGGGTGTTTATATAGAGAGGAGAGAGGGGGTTATATAGTGTGTGTGTGTGGATTATATAGAGAGGCAGAGAGGGGTTATATATAGAGGTGAGGGGGTGGTAGTGGTTATATGGAGAGGCAGAGAGGGGTTATATAGAGGTGCTGGGGGTGGGGTGTTTATATAGAGAGGCAGAGAGGGGTTATATAGAGAGGTGTGTGTGTCTGTGTGTGTGTGGATTATATAGAGAGGCAGAGAGGGGGTTATATAGAGAGGTGAGGGGTGGTGGTGGTTATATAGAGGCAGAGGGGGTTATATAGAGAGAGTGTGTGTGTGTGTGTGTGTTATATGTGTGTGTGCAGAGAGGGTTATAGAGGTATAGCGGTGTGTGTGTGTGTGTGTGTGTGTGTGGTGGTGTTTATATGTGTGGATTAGAGAGCAGAGAGGGGTTATAGAGAGGTGAGGGGGGGTGGTGATGTGGTTAGATAGAGAGTCAGAGAGAGGGGGTTATATAGAGAGGCAGAGAGGGTTTTAGAAAGGCAGAGAGGGGTTATATAGAGGTGGTGGGGGTGTGTGTGTTTATATAGAGAGGCAGAGAGGGGTTATATAGAGAGTTTGTGTGTGTGTGTGTGGGGGGTATATATAAAGATGATGGGGTTATGGAGTGAGACAGTGGGTGGGGTTATGGGGTGATAGAGACAGTGATGGGGTTATGGAGTGAGACAGTGATGGGGTTATGGAGTGAGACAGTGATGGGGTTATAGAGTGAGACAGTGATGATGTTATGGGTGAGACAGTGATAGTGATGAGGTTATGGAGTGAGACAGTGATGAGGTTATGGAGTGAGACAGTGATTAGGTTATGGAGTGAGACAGTGATGATGTTATGGGTGAGACAGTGATAGTGATGAGGTTATGGAGTGAGACAGTGATGGGGTTATGGAGTGAGACAGTGATGAGGTTATGGAGTGAGACAGTGATGGGGTTATGGAGTGAGACAGTGATGGGGTTATGGAGTGAGACAGTGATGGGGTTATGGAGTGAGACAGTGATGAGGTTATGGTGTGAGACAAAAAGGGGTTATGGAGTGGGAGACAGTGATTGGGTTATGGAGTGAGACAGAAAGGGGTTTTGGAGTGAGACAGAAAGGGGTTATGGAGTGAGACAGTGATGGGGTTATAGAGTGAGACAGTGATGAGGTTATGGAGTGAGACAGTGATGAGGTTATGGAGTGAGACAGTGATGGGGTTATGGAGTGAGACTGATGATGTTATGGGTGAGACAGTGATAGTGATGAGGTTATGGAGTGAGACAGTGATGGGGTTATGGAGTGAGACAGTGATGAGGTTATGGAGTGAGACAGTGATGGGGTTATGGAGTGAGACAGTGATGGGGTTATGGAGTGAGACAGAAAGGGGTTTTGGAGTGAGACAGAAAGGGGTTATGGAGTGAGACAGTGATGGGGTTATGGAGTGAGACAGTGATGATGTTATGGGTGAGACAGTGAGAGTGATGAGGTTATGGAGTGAGACAGTGATGAGGTTATGGAGTGAGACAGTGATGAGGTTATGGAGTGAGACAGTGATCGGGTTATGGAGTGAGACAGTGATTGGGTTATGGAGTGAGACAGTGATGATGTTATGGGTGAGACAGTGATAGTGATGAGGTTATGGAAGGTAGAGACAGTGATTGGGTTATAGGTAGAGACAGTGATGATGTTAAGTGGGTGAGACAGTGATAGTGATGAGAGGTTATGGAGTGAGACAGTGATAGGGGTTATAGAGTGAGACAGTGATGATGTTGATAGGTAGAGACAGTGATAGGGTTATGGAGGTAGAGACAGTGATGGGGTTATGAGGTGAGAACAGTGATAGGGTTATGGTGAGAGAGACAGTGATAGGGGTTATGGAGGTAGAGACAGTGATAGGTTATGGAGTGAGACAGTGATGAGGTTATAGTGTGAGACAGAAAGGGGTTATGGAGTGAGACAGTGATTGGGTTATGGAGTGAGACAGAAAGGGGTTTTGGAGTGAGACAGAAAGGGGTTATGGAGTGAGACAGTGATGGGGTTATGGAGTGAGACAGTGATGGGGTTATGGAGTGAGACAGATGAGTAATGAAGTAAGGATGAGGTTATGAAATAGGTAAGAGATCAAGCTAAGAGATCAAACAGTCAGACATGAAATATGATATAATTACTTCATCATGGCCTTTGGAGAAGGAAGGGTTTGGTGCTGGAGAATTGTGGTTGTAGGGTGTGGAGTAATCCTGCTGTCTGTGCCCTGCAGTGTGGGCTATATATAGCTTTACACATGTTTACTGGAGGCTTCCCTCACAGCCTCAGATTCCAGGCAGTGTACACAACTCTTGCATCCTACCATTTACAGGTATGTTGAGTCGCATTTCTAAACATGCTGAGTCCTTGAGGTGTTATGGGAGCGTAGAGAGCTGTCAAATGTACAGTACTTCTGTGGGGATAAAACTGTTGTCTGGGATGGAGGAATATTTAATACTGGTGATTGAAACTGTTGGATATCACATATGACTTTGAACATGTCAACCTGTGGGGATGGAGGATACGTATATGGGGAGCATGGTGTCAGGGTTGGTCTTTCAGTGAGACAACACGCACCCTGATGGCATTTATAGTTGATGTAGCCTATGTGAGTGATATTGACAGTATCAAGGCTGCTGTGGTGAGTGACAGTATCAGGGCTGTAGTGAGTGGCGACGAGTATCAGGGCTGTAGTGAGTGATGACATTATCAGAGTGCATTAGGTAGTGGTGATGACAGTATCAGGGTGCGTGAGTGAGTGATGATGACAGTATCAGGGCTGTAGTGAGGCGATGACAGTATCAGGGCTGTAGTGACTGATGATGACGAGTATCAGGGCTGTAGTGAGTGATGATGACAGTTTCAGGGGCTGTAGTGATGATGATGACAGTTTCAGGGCTGTAGTGACGATGATGACTTAATATTTGGGTGTAGTGGGTGATGATGAGCAGTATCAGGGCTGTAGTGACTGATGATGACGGTATCAGGGGCTGTAGTGGGTGATGATGACAGTATCAGGGCTGTAGTGGGTGATGATAATGACAGTATCAGGGCTGTAGTAAGTGATGATGACAGTATCAGAGCTGTAGTGGGTGATGATGACAGTATCAGGGCTGTAGTGGGTGATGATGACAGTATCAGGGCTGTAGTGACTGATGATGACAGTATCAGGGCTGTAGTGGGTGATGATGACAGTATCCGGGGCTGTGGTGACTGATGATGACAATATTTGGGCTGTAGTGGGTGATGATGACAGTATCAGGGCTGTAGTGACTGATGATGACAGTATCAGGGCTGTAGTGACTGATGATGACAGTATCAGGGCTGTAGTGGGTGATGATGACAGTATCAGGGCTGTAGTGAGTGATGATGACAGTATCAGGGCTGTAGTGACTGATGATGACAGTATCAGGGCTGTAGTGGGTGATGATGACAGTATCAGGGCTGTAGTGGGTGATAATGGCAGTATCAGGGCTGTAGTAAGTGATGACAGTATCAGGGTCGTAGTGAGTGATGATGACAGTATCAGGGTCGTAGTGAGTGATGACAGTATCAGGGTCGTAGTGAGTGATGATGACAGTATCAGGGTCGTAGTGAGTGATGACAGTATCAGGGTCGTAGTGAGTGATGATGACAGTATCAGGGCTGTAGTGACTGATGATGACAGTATCAGGGCTGTAGTGAGTGATGACAGTATCAGGGCTGTAGTGACTGATGATGACAGTATCAGGGCTGTAGTGAGTGATGATGACAGTATCAGGGTTGTAGTGAGTGATGATGACAGTTTCAGGGCTGTAGTGACTGATGATGACAATATTTGGGCTGTAGTGGGTGATGATGACAGTATCAGGGCTGTAGTGACTGATGATGACAATATTTGGGCTGTAGTGAGTGATGATGACAGTATCAGGGTTGTAGTGAGTGATGATGACAGTTTCAGGGCTGTAGTGACTGATGATGACAGTATCAGGGCTGTAGTGGGTGATGATGACAGTATCAGGGCTGTAGTAAGTGATGATGACAGTATCAGAGCTGTAGTGGGTGATGATGACAGTATCAGGGCTGTAGTGACTGATGATGACAATATTTGGGCTGTAGTGGGTGATGATGACAGTATCAGGGCTGTAGTGAGTGATGATGACAGTATCAGGGCTGTAGTGACTGATGATGACAGTATCAGGGCTGTAGTGGGTGATGATGACAGTATCAGGGCTGTAGTGAGTGATGATGACAGTATCAGGGCTGTAGTGACTGATGATGACAGTATCAGGGCTGTAGTGGGTGATGATGACAGTATCAGGGCTGTAGTGGGTGATAATGGCAGTATCAGGGCTGTAGTAAGTGATGATGTCAGTATCAGAGCTGTAGTGGGTGATGATGACAGTATCAGAGCTGTAGTGGGTGATGATGACTGTATCAGAGCTGTAGTGGGTGATGATGACAGTATCAGTGCTGTAGTTGGTGATGATGACAGTATCAGTGCTGTAGTTGGTGATGATGACAGTATCAGAGCTGTAGTTGGTGATGATGACAGTATCAGTGCTGTCCCTAACATCTGACTATCCCAGTTCTACTTTTCCGTTACTGTTAACTATCCGCTAACAGTTGTCTGTCCCAGATGTTATACTGTTCCCTACCATCCGATTATCCTATTTTTTCAGCCATTTCACTACTCCCAACTATCGCAAACATCAGACTGTTCCCAGAGATCAAACCAACCTGAAACATTAAACTTCTACCAAACATGCCGCAATCCCCAAGACAAGGTCATCTCAGTGATTGAGCACGATTTTTATGTGAATAGTTTATGGTTTCAGAGTCTGTGAAAGAATCTGCCGAAGAGGAAACGGTTGAAGATAAAACTGCAGAGAGGACGAAACTGGCCAACATCAGTGACGACTTACCGCCTGCTTTTACGACGACAACCACAATAAGTAGACTAACTGCAGAAGTTGTCGCATCAAAACAGCCAGCAGAATCATCAACATCTACCACCATCACCACCCAGGCAGAAATAACACCCACAAGTATTAATCCCACAGGTGAGAAGATAATGTCCCCAATGTACTATAACCACAGGTGAGAAGATAATGTCCCCAATGTACTATAACAACAGGTGAGAAAATAATGTCCCCAATGTACTATAACCACAGGTGAGAAGATAATGTCCCCAATGTACTATAACCACAGGTGAGAAGATAATGTCCCCAATGAACTATAACAACAGGTGTTAAAATAATGTCCCCAATGTACTATAACCACAGGCGAGAAGATAATGTCCCCAATGTACTTTAACAACAGGTGAGAAGATAATGTCCCCAATGTACTATAAGCACAGGTGAGAAGATAATGTCCCCAATGTACTATAACCACAGGTGAGAAGATTATGTCCCCAATGTACTATAACCACAGGTGAGAAGATAATGTCCCCAATGTACTATAACCACAGGTGAAAAATAATGTCCCCAATGTATTATAACCACAGGTGAGAAGATAATGTCCCCAATGTACTATAACCACAGGTGAGAAGATAATGTCCCCAATGAACTATAACCACAGGTGAGAAGATAATGTCCCCAATGTACTATAACCACAGGTGAAAAATAATGTCCCCAATGTACTATAACCACAGGTGAGAAGATAATGTCCCCAATGTACTATAACCACAGGTGAAAAATAATGTCCCCAATGTACTATAAGCACAGGTGAGAAGATAATGTCCCCAATGTACTATAACCACTGGTGAAAAATAATGTCCCCAATGTACTATAACCACAGGTGAGAAGATAATGTCCCCAATGTACTATAACCACAGGTGAAAAATAATGTCCCCAATGTACTATAACCACTGGTGAGAAGATAATGTCCCCAATGTACTATAACCACAGGTGAAAAATAATGTCCCCAATGTACTATAACCACAGGTGTTAAGATAATGTCCCCAATGTACTATAACCACAGGTGAGAAAATAATGTCCCCAATGTACTATAACCACAGGTGTTAAGATAATGTCCCCAATGTACTATAACCACAGGTGTTAAGATAATGTCCCCAATGTACTATAAGCACAGGTGTTAAGATAATGTCCCCAATGTACTATAACCACCGGTGTTAAGATAATGTCCCCAATGTACTATAACAACAGGTGAGAAAATAATGTCCCCAATGTACTATAACCACAGGTGTTAAGATAATGTCCCCTAATGTACTATAACCACAGGTGAGAAGATAATGTCCCCAATGTACTATAAACCACAGGTGAGAAGATAATGTCCCCAATGTACTATAACCACAGGTGAGAAGATAATGTCCCCAATGTACTATAACCACAGGTGAGAAGATAATGTCCCCAATGTACTATAACAACACATTGAGAAGATAATGTCCCCAATGTACTATAACCACAGGTGAGAAGATAATGTCCCCAATGTACTATAACCACAGGTGAGAAGATAATGTCCCCAATGTACTATAACCACAGGTGAGAAAATAATGTCCCCAATGTACTATAACCACAGGTGAGAAGATAATGTCCCCAATGTACTATAACCACAGGTGAGAAAGATAATGTCCCCAATGTACTATAACCACAGGTGAGAAGATAATGTCCCCAATGTACTATAACCACAGGTGAGAAGATAATGTCCCCAATGTACTATAAACCACAGGTGAGAAGATAATGTCCCCAATGTACTATAACCACATGTGAGAAGATAATGTCCCCAATGTACTATAACCACAGGTGAGAAAATAATGTCCCCAATGTACTTTAACCACAGGTGAGAAGATAATGTCCCCAATGTACTTTAACCATAGGTGAGAAGATAATGTCCCCAATGTACTATAACCACAGGTGAGAAGATAATGTCCCCAATATACTATAAGCACAGGTGAGAAGATAATGTCCCCAATGTACTATAACCACAGGTGAGAAAATAATGTCCCCAATGTACTATAACCACAGGTGAGAAAATAATGTCCCCAATGTACTATAACAACAGGTGAGAAAATAATGTCCCCAATGTACTATAACCACAGGTGAGAAGATAATGTCCCCAATGTACTATAACCACAGGTGAGAAGATAATGTCCCCAATGTACTATAACCACAGGTGAGAAAATAATGTCCCCAATTTACTATAACCACAGGTGAGAAGATAATGTCCCCAATGTACTATAACCACAGGTGAGAAGATAATGTCCCCAATGTACTATAACCACAGGTGAGAAGATAATGTCCCCAATGTACTATAACCACAGGTGAGAAGATAATGTCCCCAATGTACTATAACCACAGGTGTTAAGATAATGTCCCCAATGTACTGTAACCACAGGTGAGAAAATAATGTCCCCAATGTACTGTAACCACAGGTGAGAAGATAATGTCCCCAATGTACTATAACCACAGGTGAGAAGATAATGTCCCCAATGTACTATAACCACAGGTGAGAAGATAATGTCCCCAATGTACTTTAACAACAGGTGAGAAAATAATGTCCCCAATGTACTATAACCACAGGTGAGAAGATAATGTCCCCAATGTACTATAACCACAGGTGAGAAGATAATGTCCCAATGAACTATAACCACAGGTGAGAAGATAATGTCCCCAATGTACTATAACCACAGGTGAGAAGATAATGTCCCCAATGTACTTTAACAACAGGTGAGAAGATAATGTTCCAAGGCTGTACTGAATGTTGTGAGGTTTGAGTGAATGCCAGCCTGTATCTAGCCTTGTTCCAAGGCTGTACTGAATGTTGTGAGGTTTGAGTGAATGCCAGCCTGTATGTAGCCTTGCTCCAAGGCTGTACTGAATGTTGTGAGGTTTGAGTGAATGCCAGCCTGTATCTAGCCTTGCTCCAAGGCTGTACTGAATGTTGTGAGGTTTGAGTGAATGCCAGCCTGTATCTAGCCTTGCTCCAAGGCTGTACTGAATGTTGTGAGGTTTGGAGTGAATGCCAGCCTGTATCTAGCCTTGCTCCAAGGCTGTACTGAATGTTGTGAGGTTTTAGTGAATGCCAACCTGTGTCTAGCCTTGCTCCAAGGCTGTGAGGTTTAAGTGAATAATCACTGAATATCTGCCCTGAGGTTTGCACAGATTGATTGGGAGTTGAATGCCAGCCTGTATCTAGCCTTACTCCAAGGCTGTACTGAATGTTGTGAGGTTTGAGTGAATGCCAGCCTGTATCTAGCCTTGTTCCAAGGCTGTACTGAATGTTGTGAGGTTTGAGTGAATGCCAGCCTGTATCTAGCCTTGCTCCATGGCTGTACTGAATGTTGAGGTTTGAGTGAATGCCACCCTGTATCTAGCCTTGCTCCAAGGCTGTACTAAATGCTGTGAGGTGTCAGTGAATGCCACCCTGTATCTAGCCTTGCTCTAAAGCTGTACTGAATGTCACCCCGTATCTAGCTTGCTCCAAGGCTGTACTGAATGTTGTGAGGTTTGAGTGAATGCCAGCCTGTATCTAGCCTTGCTCCAAGGCTGTACTGAATGTTGTGAGGTTTGAGTGAATGCCACCCTGTATCTAGCCTTGCTCCAAAGCTGTACTGAATGTTGTGAGGTTTGAGTGAATGCCAGCCTGTATGTAGCCTTGCTCCAAAGCTGTACTGAATGTTGTGAGGTTTGAGTGAATGCCAGCCTGTATGTAGCCTTGCTCCAAGTCTGTACTGAATGTTGTGAGGTTTGAGTGAATGCCAGCCCTAATATCTAGCCAGCCTGTATACTAGCCTTGCTCCAGCCTGTATGTACTTGAAAGCTGTACTGTGAGGTTTGAGTTTGAATGAATGCCAGCCTGTATCTAGCCTTGCTCCAAAGCTGTACTGAATGTTGTGAGGTTTGAGTGAATGTCACCCTGTATCAGCCTTGCTCCCTGTATCTAGTGAATGCCAGCCTTCGTAGCCTTGCTCCAAAGCTGTACTGAATGTTGTGAGGTTTGAGTGAATGCCAGCCTGTATCTAGCCTTGCTCCCTGGGCTGTACTGAATGTTGTATGTAGGTTTGAGTGAATGTCAGATGCCTGTATCTAGCCTTGCTCCAAGGCTGCTCCAAATGCCACCCTGTATCTAGCTGTACTGAATGTTGTGAGGTTTAGAGGTTGCCAGTGTAATGCCAGCCTGTATCTAGCCTTGCTCCAAGGCTGTACTGAATGTTGTGAGGTTTGAGTGAATGCCAGCCTGTATCTAGCCTTGCTCCAAGGCTGTACTGAATGTTGAGGTTTGAGGTTTGTATCTAGTGCTCCAAGGCTGTACTAAATGTTGTGAGGTGTCAGTGAGTGCCACCCTGTATCTAGCCTTGCTCCCAAAGCTGTACTGAATGTCACCCATTATCTAGCTTGCTCCAAGGCTGTACTGAATGTTGTGAGGTTTGCCAGCCTGTGAATGCCATGCCAGCCTGCTATGTAGCCTTATCCAAGGCCTGTATCTAGCCTTGCTCCAAACTGGTTGTGAGGTTTGTAGCCTGAATGCTGTACTGAGGTTTGAGTGGAGTGAATGCCAGCCTGTATCTAGCCTTGCTCCACGGCTGTACTGAATGTTGTGAGGTTTGAGTGAATGTCACCCTGTATAGCCTTGCTCCAAAGGCTGTACTGAATGTTTTGAGGTTTGAGTGAATGCCAGCCTGTATCTAGCCTTGCTCCAAGGCTGTACTGAATGTTGTGAGGTTTGAGTGAATGCCAGCCTGTATCTAGCCTTGCTCCAAGGCTGTACAAGGCTCCACTGAATGTTGTGCTGTAGGTTTGAGGTTTGAGTGAATGGCAGCCTGTATCTAGCCTTGCTCCCAAGGCTGTACTGATGTTTTGAGGTTTGAGTGAATGCCAGCCTGTATCTAGCCTTGCTCCAAGGCTGTACTGAATGTTGTGAGGTTTTGAATGCCAGCCTGTATCTAGCCTTGCTCCAGGCTGTAGATATCACTGGAATCAGATTGTGAGGTTTGAGGAATGCCAGCCTGTATGTAGCCTTGCTCTCTGAATGTTGTGAGGTTTTGAGTAAATGCCAGCCTGTTTGCAGCCTTGCTGAATGTTGAATGTTGAGGTTTGAGTGA